TTCTATATCAGGGAATGGTCGTGCTGGCTGCTATTCAGGTGTGGTGGACCTGGGAGGTTGAAGATGTCTTCAAAAAGGTGAATGGAGGAGAAAAACATGCACTGAAGGACTACGCTGAGAAGATGCACCGCCAGATTGACGAGCTGGTTACACGCAACACTCAGCCCATGAAGAAAAACGACAGGCGGAAAATCAACACAGCGCTGATCATGGATGTCCACTCAAGAGACATCGTGGACAACTTGGTGTACAACAGGTGAACTTGAACTTTTACAAGTTTAAATTTTCGTCTTCACTAAAAAGCAGTGAGCTTAAGATGAGAACACAGCAACATTCAGATCTTTTTGCAGGATAACAGATGCACAAGAGTTTGAGTGGGAAAGCCAGCTGAGATTCTACTGGAAGCGGGAACAGGACAACCTGTTTGTGCAGCAGTGCAGCGCTTCATTCTCCTATGGTTATGAATACATGGGGTTGAATGGTCGATTGGTTATCACCCCACTAACAGACCGGATCTATCTGACTCTCACACAGGTCCCAGATTCTTTACAATGTGTACACAGGCACTTCCGAATCAGAAAACTTTATTGATTTTGGGAGAAATTGTTTATAAACCATATAAAATCTGCGTGGGTTTATTTTGTGGCATGATACCTGTGTACTTGTGAAACAGGCTCTCTCCATGTACTTGGGCGGCGCTCCTGCTGGACCAGCTGGCACAGGAAAAACAGAATCCGTCAAAGATCTGGCCAAGGCTTTAGGCTTGCTGTGTGTGGTTACAAACTGTGGTGAGGGCATGGACTACATGGTAAGAGGCATACACTAAGCAGCATCAATGGGGAAAATGTCAAATCTGTGATGTTTTCTTTTTTAAATAAAACCAGCATAATTTCTTTTTGATTTTAAATCCCTTTTATCTCGTATGCAGGCCATTGGGAATATCTTTTCTGGCCTTGCCCAGTGTGGCGCCTGGGGCTGCTTTGATGAGTTCAATCGAATCGATGCCTCAGTATTGTCAGTGATCTCCTCCCAAATACAGACCATCCGCAATGCTCTCATTTTACACCTTAAGCACTTTCAGGTAAATCTGTTTTGCAGGAATCATTTAGAACCAGTAATGAATAATTTGAAAACTAATTCCTCAATTTTTTTCACTCAAGAACATTGTACTAAGCAATAACTACTTTTGCAGTACACGATAGGGAGCCTCTTTCCAGACCATGCTCCCCGAGAGAACGAAAAAATGAATGCAAGTCATTGGGGCTAAAAACACGATTTTATAATCCTGTTTCATATGCACCATGGATTTCACATATGATGTCCATGAATTTTAGACACATTAGGATGCCAAGAAAGCATTTATTTTCTAATGGGAAAAAAGTTGTTTTAGGTTTTGTGGGAAAATACGTCCAGGACTACAAATGCGCATCACCCAACTGACTTCATCGGACCAGACACGGAGAAGATTAGAGGAAAAATGGCTCTGAATTTAGAGATGTTTAAATACTTCTTTCAAGAGGAAAGAACCACCATAAATCTCACCATGTGGTACTAGCAGCTACGCTGGGGCAGAGGAAGTTCTGTGGTGACATCATAAATGCAACGTGCCGATGTCTGATTTGTAATTACGAATTTTACAAGCTGATAAATCTCAAAATACGTAACAGGCATGGTTGAAATCCACATCATTGCCTTTCAAATTGAAATATAACATATGTGCCATCCAGGGCGTAAGAAAAAACGAATTAGAAAATAGCTCTTTTAGCCCCATTGACTTGCATTCATTTTTTCCGTTCTTATAGGTACCCATCTGCCGACCGGAAAAGGAGGAGACTTAGACTCCCTTTGCATCAGCTAGTTTGTTTTGTTTTGTTTTTTCGTTTGACAACTTTCTTCTCATAATCATTCAGTTTGAGGGGCAGATGATCAGCCTGGATGACCGCATGGGTATTTTCATCACTATGAATCCTGGCTACGCTGGCCGTACAGAGCTGCCCGAATCAGTCAAAGCCCTTTTCCGGCCTGTGGTGGTGATTCTACCTGATCTTCAACAAATTTGTGAGATCATGCTGTTTTCAGAGGGTTTCCTAATGGCCAAGGTAAAAATAATAATAATCCAGACAAAAAATAGCACATTTTGTAGGGATTCTGTCATCTAAGTAAGGAAAAGTCATTTTGTGTAATTTTTAGATCATTTTAAAAATGCATGTTTTATGTAATTTTTGTTATTAATTTTAGGTGCTGGCAAAGAAGATGACTGTCCTGTATAAACTGGCTCGGGAGCAGCTGTCCAAGCAGTCTCATTATGACTTTGGTCTACGCGCTCTGAAGTCTGTCTTAGTGATGGCAGGAGAGTTAAAAAGAGGCTCACCGGACCTCAGTGAGGTAGTATATAGCTTGGTACTGGGTCAACTTGTGTTTTTATTGGATATCACTTTATTGAAAGATAGATCATAGTGTATCTTCAGTAGCACAGATATATCTGAAAAGTCTAAAAGATTGTGAAGGATTTTATTCAGACACTTTATGATGATCAACATATATGGAAATACTGGATGCGAGCCACTGGGGGCCCCCTCTGGGGCAAGGCCTGAGTTGGAGCACGTTGGGGAGCGCCTGGTGGCCCAGATTTCACCCATAGAGCCTGGCCAGACATAGACTGAAGAGGAGACATGGGTCCCCTTTCTCATGGGCTCACCACTCGCAGAAGGAGCCAAAGGGGTCAGTGCAATGCGTGTTGGGTGGGAGCCGTAGGTAGGGACTTTGGTGGTATGATCCTCGGCAACGAAAAGCTGGCTCTCGGTACATGGAGTGGAAAGAGCCAGAGTTGGTGCGTAACATTGAGAGGTTCCGACTAGTTATAGTCGGACTCGTCTTGATGCATGGCTCTGGCTCCTGAACCAGTTTCCTTGAGAGAGGTTGGACTTTCTACCACTCTTGCTGCCACTGAGAGGTGCAGAGGTAGACACAATTGTTGTCCCCCATCTTGGTGCATGTTCGTTGCGGTTTACCTTGGTGAATGTGGGTGGAGTGGGGGGGGGGTGGGGGGTCCTTACTGTGTTTGTGCTTACTCACCAAACTGCAGATTAGACTACCCTCCCTTTTTGCAGTCCTTTGAAAGGGCGCTCTTTCCGGTGACTCCTTTGATTTCCTGGGGTACTTCAATGCTCACGTGAGCAATGACAGTGACACCTGGAGACGTGTGGTTGAGAGGAATGCCCCCCAATGTGAATTTGAGTGGTGTTTTGTTGTTAGACATCTGTGCTCGTCATGGATTGTCCATAATGAACTCCATGGGAACATATGTGCTCTTGGCACCAGGATACCTTAGGCTGCAGTTTGATCGACTTTGTTGTCGTGTCAGATCTGCGGCCGCATGTCTTAGACACTCAGGTGTCAGAATGCCTCTTGAGTGATCGCAGAGGCAAAAACCCAGACGTGAGAAATGTTTGGAGCCAAGACTTCTGTATGGTATTGAGAAGATTTTGGACCAATGGGCAGAGTACTTCACTACCACCGGGACATCTTCCAGTGAGGAAGCGGAATCTTGGGACTTTGTGTTGGGCTCTCCAATCTCTGAAGCTGAGGTCACTGAGGTGGCTGAAGGCTACCGGTGCCAGAGCTTGGTCCACATTGCCGGCAGTAAGTCAGGCTAGTTTCTGGTGAGAGTTGGACTCTGCCAAGGTTGCCTTTGTGGCCAGTTCCTTTCATAACTTTTATGGACAGGATTTCTAGGTGCAGTCAAGGTTTTGAGGGGATCCGTTTTGGTGGCCTGAGGATCGGGTCTCTGCGTTTTGCAGATGATGTGGTTCTGTTGGATTCATCAGAACGTGTTCTCCAGCTTTTACTGGGATGGTTCACAGCCGAGTGAGAAGCAGCTGGGATGAGAATCAACTCCTCTAAATCTGAGACTATGGTCTTGCGTCGGAAAAGGGTGGAATGCCTTCTCCGGGTCAGGGACGAGGTCCTGCCTCAAGTGGAGAAGTTTAAGTGTCTCGGGGTCTTGTTCACAAGTGAGGGAATGATGTAGTGCAAGATCGATAGGCGGATTGGTTCTGTGTCTGCAGTGGTGCGGGCATTGTACCGATCATTTGTGATGAACACAGAGCTGAGCCAGAAGACAGCACTCTTGATTTACCAGTCAATCTACCTTCCTACCCTCACCTATGGTCACAAGCTTTGGGTAGTGACCGAAAGAACGAGATTGTGGATACAAGCGTCTAAAATGAATTTTCTCCGCTTGGTGTCGGAGCTCTTCTTTAGAGATTGGGTGAGTAGCTGAGTCATCCGGGAGGGGCTCAGAGTAGATCTGCTGCTCCTACACACTTAGAGGAGCCAGTTGAGGTGGCTCGGGCATCTGGTTAGGATGCTTCCTAGACACCTCCCTGGTGAGGTTTTCCGGGCACGTCCAACCAGGAAGAGACTCAAAGGAAGACCCAGGACGCACAGCTGAGAATATGTTTCTCGGCTGACCAGGTTAAAGCCTTGGGATTCACCCAGAGGAGCTGGCCCAAGTGTCTGGGGAGAGGGACATCTGGGCCTCTTTGCTTAGGCTGCAGCCCCCGCATGGATTTTTATTCAAATTTACTGTGTAGAGGTATGGGGTAACACTTATAAAACATCTATTGTACCCTTGTCTATCATACAGAAAAGAGCCCTGAGAGTCGTTCACAATGTTAGATTTAGAGAACACACTAATCCGTTATTTATATATTCTAAAATACTAAAATTTAAAGATTTAATTCAGCTATATACAGCGACATTCATGTTTAAAGTGCATAGGAAATTATTACCACACAAATTATTAATGCTATTTATAAAACCAGATAACCTATATAATTTCAGATACAAACTTAACTTTAGGCATACATATTTTAGAACAACAATAAAGTCATTTTGTATTTCTGTTACGGGTGTAAGAGTTTGGAATAAGCTAAGTGAGGATCTAAAGCAAAGTCCCTCATTGCATAAGTTTAAAGAGAAGTATAAAAAAAATTATACTAATCAATTACATGGAGGAGGAGGAAAAGTTGTAAGGGTGTTGCATTTGATTGTAATTGTCTATTGTTGGTGAACTGGGAGCTGTGAACATGGCGGGGTGGGGGGGTGGGGGGGTGGGGGGTGTTGGAACATGAGAAAATGTAAATTTGGTTTGTGTGATTGAGGATAAAACATGTTATAGGAAAATGGCAATGACACTCAGTGTAGGGAAAATATATATATTTTTTTGTTTTGTCTTTCTTGAAATTTGATTTGGGGGGGATTATATAAGCTACCAGAGCTTCGTTCCCTTCCCATTGAACATGTTCTACATGTGTATGTGTATATATATATATATATGTATATATATATATATATATATATATATATATATATATATATATATATATATATATATATATATATATATATATATATATATATATATATATGTATGTATGTATGTATATATGTATATATGTATGTATGTATGTATATATGTATATATGTATGTATGTATAGTAAAAGAAAAGATAGAAAATAATCAGTATCCTTTTATTATGTTGTAACTTTATTCATTCCTGTATTTTTTATCTTTCATTCAACCAGGATGTGGTACTGATGCGTGCTCTCAGAGACATGAATCTGCCAAAGTTTGTGTTTGAAGACGTCCCTTTGTTCCTTGGGCTGATCTCAGACCTTTTCCCTGGACTGGACTGTCCCCGTGTTCAATATGCTAGCTTCAATGAAGCTGTGGAGCAGACCCTGCAAGAGAACAAATATATTGTTCTACCTAATCAGGTACACAACTGTGAAGTTTTGATAACTAATGCATGTGATTAACAAATATGAATGTCCATCCCCATGTCCTAATGTCTGTGCCAGGTGGATAAAGTTGTGCAACTGCAAGAGACCATGATGAGCAGGCACACTACTATGATTGTGGGCCCAACAGGTGGAGGCAAATCAGTTGTGATCAACACGTTATGTCAGGCTCAGACCAAGTTAGTGGCACTTTACATTTTTCTGTCCCCAGATCTCAAGTAAGGACAATGGTAACAATAATTGTTCTTTTCAGATTGGGGCTGCGTACTAAATTATATCCCTTGAACCCAAAAGCCATGAGTGTCATTGAACTTTATGGAGTTCTTGACCCAGATACTCGAGACTGGACTGATGGGATTCTATCCAACATCTTTCGTGAAGTCAACAAGCCCACTGACAACAAAGAGCAGAGGTAAAACCATAAATGCCAAAAGACACTTTATACATTTTGGGACACGCTTCATAAATATGTGATCCATGACTCACAGGTATATCCTGTTTGATGGAGATGTGGATGCCCTCTGGGTAGAGAATATGAACTCAGTAATGGATGACAACAAGCTCCTCACTCTTGCCAACGGGGAACGGATTCGTTTACAGAGTCACTGTGCACTGCTGTTTGAGGTTTGTCTGAATTTTGAAATAAAACGTCTTCTAAAATGATAACAAAATAACTCTTGAGGATAACTTTTAACAAAACACTGTTTTGTTAAAAGGTTGGAGATCTGCAGTATGCTTCACCTGCTACCGTGTCCCGCTGTGGGATGGTTTTTGTTGACCCCAAAAACTTGCGTTACACACCCTACTGGGAGAGATGGGTGAACAGCAGACCTGAAACTGTAAAAAAAAGGTTTTTAATACTTAATTATGTCTTTTTCAATATCATTTTTAAGTAAAATGTGGATTTTCATAGGAGCAAGAGGTGCTTTTCAGACTGTTTAAGAAATATGTGCACAGCTGCATTGACATGCTTTTGGAGGGCATTGTTGATGGCAAACAGGGCCAGAAACTGGAAACTGTTGTCCCTCAGACTGATCTGAATATGGTAGGTTAATTACATCCTTCTCAAACCTTTTTAGCACCTAAAGGGATGTTTTGAAAGACGATCCTACTCTACATAATTGTGCATGTTTTTATTTAGGTCTCTCAGTTGTGCTTGATGCTGGATGCTCTTCTTGAGAGTGACAGCAGCAGGGCTGATGTCCTGGAGTGTTACTTCTTGGAAGCTCTGTACTGCTCTCTGGGGGCCACGTTACTAGAGAGTGGAAGGAGCAAGTTTGATGATCTCGTCAAAAGGCTTTCCTGCAGAACCACGATGCATGATGGGAACGACCTGGCTGGGCCTGATGAGATCCCAGGTAAAATCCAAGCCTTTGTCCTTAAAAGGAACCCAGGTTACAAAACGTTGTGGTTCTTAAAAGATAAATGTTAGTATCAGTTATATTAAAGTGGTGTAAAAAGCCTTCTTAATGTCTTCATTTTTATAAAATTTGTTAAAAATTGTTTAACTCGTAGGTCGCCATTGTTGTTAGCGTCGCAATGCATTCTGGTTAGTGACGTCACGTGGTTGTACCTCGGTTGCACCGGCCGGCTTTAGGACCCTGTAGCGACTATTCAGCAACATAAACATGTCATCTGTTCAGCGTTTTCAATTTGAGCCAGAGTGAAGCATTAATGATGACATCACTGACTATGTTTCACAAAACGAGCATCAACATGAAGAGCAAGAAGGGCAGGATGAAGCGAGAGCAGGACAAAACCGGTGGTGTATGGGCAGCAAATGCGTCTCCATGGTAACTGAGAGGGAGAGTGTTTGTTATCAAGAGCTCACATTTTTGTCAGCAGAAGTTAACAGTAAGCTATCATGTGATCAAACTTAATCAGATATGAATGATTTAGGAGACTATTTGCACCCAGAACTGTCGTGTGCTTTGTAGATGATTAGGATATTCAGTGAAACCACTTTAATCATTGTTGCAGATATTATATATCTGGAGAACACTGTATTGCTACACTTACTGCTTGTTTTACTGACGGGAGAGGTGAAAGTTCAGCTTCATTCGTGACGAGTGGCGTGTCCGATGGTTCACTGAACGTGACAGAAGCGGCAGCTGCAGGAGCGGGTTGTCGGCTCAGGACAGCTTCTCTCGTCCCTCCAAGGGCGTTTAGGCTCCTTATGTGGGAAAATGGTCGGTAAAGCATTTAGTTTCCGCCTTCTCTTACACCCGGCCGCTCTGGTGAGCTCTTTAAGTAGTTGTGGTCGACTATAAGCATCAGGAGAAAAATGTAGGGAACACAGCCGCGGATCTTTGGGAAGTTGTGTCCGTCCACAGGCATCTTCCCACTGCTTTCTCCTCTTCTTACCAGTGGGAAAGCTGTGTAAACTCACATCACTCCCCTTGTTTCCCTCTGACTGGAAATCACATCCAAAAGCAGCACAATGCTGCATTTTACTTAATTATTAATCCGGTGAGTGTGTAAACAAACACTAGCGTCAACAGCTATTCTTCCAAGAGCAACCAATATACATCATCACCCCCAGAGTGCATTGTGTGTGGAAAACATGGCGTCCTACGTTTATCCAAAAATGTACTAAATATTATAGATTTATAAATAAACAGCAATATTTTGTGTGTTTCTAATAACATAGTTTGGTACAACAGAAAACTTGTGGCTTATTAGGGCATCCACTTCCTCATAGCTGGAGTTCCTTTTAAATGATAATGAAACCACCATTCCTGTGGTTTAGTTTAAATCTGGGCTTTGTCATAGATCAACAGGGACGTCTCTGACATGATAAGTTAGGTGGGGCACAACAACTCAACAGTGTGCACACGTGCAGGCGAGTGTGCACGCACACACACAACTGCATGTGTGCAATATAGTGTGCACAGTAGTGTGCGTGTGTGTTAAATGAACCGTATCAAATGGCAAAAGCGAGTAAACATGATTTTGTAAATAAACCATCACTCATCACAGTTGCTCTGTTCTTGAATGTTGATCTTTCATCTTGAGACACATTTCAATAACTGATCAGTTAATCCAGCGAAGTTTAACCCACCGTTCCTTCACCCCCGCCCCAACCGCGACAGCCCCCTCTCCCTATCTTCAATGCCAACGTTGTCCTTTGATAATATCACTTAAAGCCCTCTGGTTTAATCTCAAATTTTTGTTAAAGTGGCAAAGTTCTCTTCATTACTTCTGTTGCTTCTTGTTAGCTAACCAGCATAACCAACATGGCTGCGGCTGTCCCACAGAGCAGAAACACGAGCTCACGTGTGCTTTTCTCATCTATTGATTGGACGATCTGATCTTGGGGCCGAAGTCTCTGGGCCTTACGGTTCACCACTGAGAATGAGTTGAGGATGCGCATTGTGATTTCAGATGTTCCTCATTTAAAATGGACGCTGGTTGGGCCGGCATGACAACCGCTCCTTCTCAGATTTTTCAAGAGGATTTAATCCACTGAGCTTGTCAGTATCCTGGTAAAAACTTAGATATAAACACACAAATGTTTTAAAGAAAATCTTCTGGTGATATAATTGGCTTTTATACAATATAACTCTTAAATCATAAATCATAAAACCATTCTGTTCCATTTATTGTTTTAAGCAAGCATAGATCTCCTCAGCATCATCGGGTGGGGCCTGGCCCCACTGGCCCATAATGCAGAATCGTCACTGATGGTTTAATGAAATTATAATTGAAAACATGTTCCATGTGTTTGTAATTCAATATTAAGTGACTTCCTTCACACAGGATACCTGCCAACACTGTATGATTTCCACTTTGATGGAACACAGGAGAAGTGGGTTCCGTGGAGCTCTTTGGTTGCCAGATACGCTCACAACCCTAAAACAAAGTTTGCTGATATCTTAGGTAACAATGACTCCCGTGAGCCGTGTGGGAGGGACAAATCACATCCAACATGTAAAGACAAAAATACATATCAAAGCTCTTACACCTGATTTTAAAAGCCTCGTTTACTTTATAGTGCCAACTGTTGACACCACAAGAACCAGTTGGATCTTGGAACAGATGGTGAAGATGAGGAGACCGGTGTTACTGGTCGGAGATACTGGAACCTCCAAGACCGCCACAATTCACAACTTCCTGAAGAATATCAATCCTGATAATGGAGTAATTTCAACATCCGTGCTTCTTACATTTCACTCAAGTCAGAATGCCTGTCCCTGTATATTCATTATTTCAACTGTTTTTGTGTTTAGAGTACTTTGATCATCAACTTCTCATCCAGAACAACTTCATTAGACCTGCAGAGGAACCTGGAGGCTAACGTGGAAAAAAGAACCAAAGACACCTACGGCCCCCCGCTGGGGAAGAGACTTCTGGTCTTTATTGATGATCTGAACATGCCAAAGGTAATCCAAGATTTTTACCCACAGTCATTTATTCTCTGCTTGATTATGCTGAGGGTTGTAACATTTTAATAAAGTACATTATTTTGTTTAGGTGGATAACTATGGAACACAACAGCCTATTGCACTTCTGAAGTTGCTGCTGGACCGAGGAGGCATATATGACAGAAGAAAAGAACTAAACTGCAAAATCCTCAAGGACCTTGGCTTTATTTCAGCCATGGGAAAGGCGGGAGGTGGGAGGAATGAAGTGGATCCACGCTTCATTTCACTCTTCGGTGTCTTTGGCATTCCGTTTCCAACGACGGAATCTCTCCACCACATCTGTGCTTCCATTCTCAAAGGCCACACCAGGGTAGGTGTCTTCTTCCTCACACCAAAATTCATCTTTGTACTCGGGTGTGGTAAACTTATGACGTATTTCAGCTCTTTGAAGATTGCGTACGGAAAGTATGCGATGAAGTCACGTGCTGCACGCTGGAACTCTACAACCTCATCAACAGAGATCTTTCACCCACTCCCTCTAAGTTCCACTACACCTTCAACCTGAGGGATCTGTCAAGAGTCTACAATGGACTGACCCTCACTACACCAGACAAGTCTGATCCGTCACATTAACTCTGCTGATAACAGCCCCATGTATAACTTTTGTTTTTCTCTCTGACAGATTTCTGACTGTCGCCCAGTTTGTCCGCGTGTGGAGAAATGAGTGCTTGAGAATCTTCCATGACAGACTCATTGATGAAACTGACAAAGCTTTGGTACTGCCGTACTAGCTGATAGCCATCTTGTTTGGAATCGTTCCTTCAGATAAAACCACAAACGTGGACTCCAAACATTCAGTAGATATTTATCTTTCTTGGCCCGGGAGTCTTTAATTGTTTTTCTGCAACAGGTCCAAGGTCACATTAAAAACCTGATCGAAGCACATTTTAAGTCAGACATGGAGGCGGTGATGAAGGACCCCATTCTCTTTGGGGACTACAGAGCTGCCCTCAGTGATTCTGAGGCAAGGGTCTATGAAGATGTTCAAGATTATGATGCTTCCAAAGTCATTTTTCAGGCAAGTTTTTTTCATGCTGACTTACAAAGATGACAGCCTCAGTTTGAATTCCTTTATAGAATTATAGTAATAATTCACAGCTATTATTGTGACTAGTTTTTCTTTACACTCCACAGGAGATTCTTGAGGAATATAATGAGAGGAAGTCGAGGATGAACTTGGTGCTGTTTGATGATGCCCTGGAGCATCTGACACGGCTTCATCGCATCATCCGCATTGATCGTGGCCACGTGCTGCTTGTTGGGGTGGGGGGCTCGGGCAAGCAGTCCCTCACCAAACTTGCTGCGTTCACCGCTGGCTGTGAGGTTGTTAAATACATGAACTATCTGGTGAAAGACATTATTATGTGCCTAGAACGTTAAGTAACTTTCAAACCCATCTTTGCAAATACACTTTTGGACTCGACACACGGGAGGCGACATCGCCTCTCCTCCGTTCATTTTCTATGAGACATGCGCAACAAAGCGATAATCACGGGCAAGGACGTAATTTTCACTTTAGAAGTGGGGGGGACACGGGGGGGGGGGGGATCTTGACAGTATGCTCTGATGGGAAACTGGCTTCAACACAAATGGTTGTTTTCCGCTTGGTCCTAGAGCTCAACCAGTGTCAACGTAATATAGCATTATCAAGGACGTAATTTTCACTTTAGAAGTGGGGGGGACACGGGGGGGGGGGGGTATCTTTACAGTATGCTCTAATGGGAAACTGGCTTCAACACAAACGGTTGTTTTCCGCTTGGTCCTAGAGCTGAACCAGTGTCAATTTAATATAGCGTAATATTGTTTTTGGATGGTAAAAATTGCAGGGGTCAAAACTTGACTTTGGAAAAAGTGGGGGGGGACATGTCCCCCCTGTCCCCCCCAAAAATTACGTCCATGATCACGGGTCTCCCTCCTACTAAGCGAAAGGTGAAAAATGTGCGTGTGAAATTTTGCGCTCGTGCACATGTCGTGCACAGGTGACCCAGTGACGCGATCCCAGAAAGTAGAAATATTTTCAACTTTTCGCTCGGACGAGGACCAATCAACGGAGGTTTCATTCACTGACCAATGAGCGGACGGGATGCTCCGTACATCTCCGCGCAAACATGACTCCTTTTCTCCTTCTGTGACTATGTTCATCTTAATGTGAGGTCCAAACCATGTGATAAATTGAAGCATGTCCTGATAGACAGAGATAGCCCTCTCCTGGTTTGTAATATGGGATGAAACCATTCTCTGGTTTTTTTTTATAGTAAAATCAGAAGTAAGATGTCACATAACTCCAGCAGCACCTTGTGAAACGTCATATCTACCACTTTTTTAACTCTGAACCGCCGGCTTAAATAACCTTAATTCCCTCCAAGCTGACACAGCCAATCAAAACAACGGAAGATTCGATTTCGCCATAGAACAGAACGCGTCGACGGCTTTGCCGCTGCCGCGGGTCGCCTCCCGTGTGTCAGGTAATAAAAGCGACAGCGACGAATTTCACTGATCGCAGTCGTTTGTCGCCTCCCGTGTGTCGAGCCCATTACTGCCTGTGATATTTGAATCTGCTTCTTCAGGTGTTTGAAATCACACTCAGCAGAGGATACAATGCGTCCAACTTCAGAGAAGATCTGAGAAAACTTTACTTGAAGCTCGGTGTTGAAAATAAGAAGATGGTGTTCCTTTTTACTGATGCTCATGTAGCTGAAGAAAGTTTTCTGGAACTAATCAACAACATGCTCACCTCAGGTTAGCTACCACTCTGGTTTGAACTCGTCTAATATTCTGAAAAGCTGCAGATGTTGAACATGGATCATTCATTCTTTTCTAAGGCATAGTACCTGCGCTGTTCCCAGATGATGAGAAGGAATCAGTTCTCAACCAGCTTCGTGATGAGGCTCTTAAAATGGGAGCAGGTCCTTCTAAGCAGAGTGTGTGGGAATACTTTGTCAATAAGAGTGCCAACAATCTACACATTGTTTTGGGCATGTCTCCAGTGGGGGACACTCTAAGAACACGCTGCAGGAACTTCCCAGGTGAAATGTACTTTTTATAATTTTTTTCTTAGTTTAACTCTTTAAAATGTGATCTCCAGCTTTTGCTGGAGCGGTTTGCAACCAAGTATCTCTGCGTTTTGTTCACGAGTGAGGGAAAGCTTAGGTGTGAGATCGATAGGTGGATTGGTGCTGTGTCTGCAGTGATGCTGGCGTTGTACCGGTTGTTCCTACCCTCACCTATGGCCATGAGCTTTGGGTAGTGACCAAAAGAATGAGAGATCGGATACAAGCAGCTTAAATGAGTTTTCTCTGCAGGGTGGCTGGGCTATCCCTAAGCGATAGGGTGAGAAGCTCGGTCATCTGGCAGGGGCTTGGAGTGGATCTGCTGATCCTCCACATCGAGAGGAGCCAGTTGAGGTGGCTCGGGCATCTAGTTAGGATGCCTCCTGGTGAGGTTTTCTGGACACGTCCAACCGGGAGAAGACCTAAGGGATGCAGGACAGGCTGGAGGGACTATGTCTCTCAGCTGGCCTTGGAACACCTTAGGATTCCCCCGGAAGAGCTTGCCCAAGTGGCTGGGGAGAGGGAAGTCTGGGCTTCTTCGCTCAGGCTGCCGCAACCGCGACCCGACCCTGGATAAGCAGATGATGGATAGATAGACAATTTCTAAATGTATGTTACCAACTGTATGCATCGTATATTACAGGACTGATAAACAACACTGTAATTGACTGGTTCCTTCCATGGCCACCAGAGGCACTCCATGCAGTCGCACAGTCTTTCCTTGGTGTGTTCAGAAAACATTTTCTTACATTTTTGCCAATGAATTTATCATAGAAACAAATTGTGCTGATCCATTTTAGGACTTGCTTTGATTTACTTTGTGATGAAGAGAGTTTTGTATGGTACTTGTCCCTGAACCTTAAAGAGTATACTGATGTTTTACTTTTCACCCTGCAGGTGATCATCCAATGATTCCTGAGGCCCACTCTGCAGCCATTACAGATCAAGTATGCATGGTTCATATATCTGCAGGAGAGTACAGCAAGCTGTTCCAGCAGAAGCTTAGAAGATGTAACTATGTTACTCCAAAGAGCTTCTTGGACTTCATCAAAACATATTCCAGTCTTTTGGAGGAAAAGGATGCTTTTTTCTTTGGTAAGGACATGGAAACATGAGCCTGTTTAGTGACAGCTGGACTAGTGTTACAGAATGCTCTTTTCATTTCTAGCTCAGTGCAAGCGTTTAGAGGGAGGTTTGGATAAGCTAAAGGAAGCTAGTGAGCAGCTGGTTGAACTGAACGTAAAGCTTGCCGATCAGAAGGTGGCTCTAGCTGAAAAGACCTCAGCTTGTGAAACCCTGGTGAAAGACATTGTTGCTAACACAAGTGCAGGTCAGTTATTACTTGCATCTTACAACTGAAGTCACAATAAAGTTACATTTCCATTACGTACAATTTTTAGAAACCAATCAACTCTTTTTTTTAGCTGAGGACAAAAAGACTCTAGCAGAGGAAAAAGCCAAAGAGATTGAAGTTCAGAATAACGTCATATCTGTTGAGAATGCAAGCGCTAAAAGTGCTCTGGATGAAGCTCTGCCAGCATTAGAGGCAGCTCGCAAAGCCCTGCAAGACCTGGATAAATCTGATGTCACTGAGATCCGGTAACCCTGTACTTTATGTCTGGTTAACAAACAGATAATGGCCAAATTCTAGCGAGCTATAATGTGCTAAGCTCCCTGCTAAAGTTCTGTGAAGACAACTCAAATCAAATCTTTAAGAATTCTGTATTTCTCTCCTTTATTTGCTGATCAATACCACAGATCTTTTGCTAAGCCACCCAAACAGGTACAAGTGGTTTGTGAGTGTATTCTTGTCCTGCGTGGCCACAAAGAAATCAGCTGGCTGGCAGCCAAGGCAATGATGTTAGACGCAAACTTTCTGCGCTCTTTACTGGAGTTGGATTGTGATTCCATAACTAATGCTCAAGTCAGGACTGTCAAACGTAAGTTAGATTGTGATCAATAAGATGTGGTGTTGTTTTTGATTTTTTTATTGATAACTTTTGTGATTTCACTTGGCCAGACTCCCTTAAGAACCTGCATACAAGCTTGGAAGAAATGCAAGGTATCAGTAAAGCTGGAGCAGGAATGTTTAAGTTTGTGGAGTCAATAATAGGTTACTGTGATGTCGCCAGAGAAATCAAACCCAAGAGGCAAAAGGTAATCTTTTAGTTTCACTGTGCTGTATGAAGGTGACACAAACAACTAAAACCTCAAACCTTTTTTTCAGGTAGCAAAGCTTGAAAAAGAGTTTGTTAAGTCTAAGAAGGAACTAGAGGACATTCAAAAGGAGCTTGAAAAAATTCAAACTGAGCTGCGTGATCTTCAAACCAACTATAAGGATGCGATCACGGAAAAGCTGGTTCTTCAGGAGGAGGCTCAGGTCATGGAGAGGAGGCTGGTAGCTGCTGATAAACTCATCTCTGGTCTGAGCTCTGAAAACGAACGGTGAGATGGCACAAGAAACACAACGTGTGATACAATTATTCCTGACAGGTGTGCTTGTTTTGTTTCATCACTGTGTGTTTCCAACCATATTTTTCAATCACACATTAAATCCAGGTGGACACAAGATCTAGTTGAGTTGAGGCAGCGGCGCGTGCATCTCCTTGGAGATTGTCTGATCTCAGCTGCTTTCCTGAGCTACGAAGGGGCCTTCAGCTGGGAGTTCAGGAGTGAAATGGTTTATGGAACCTGGCTACAGGATGTCCTGGAGAGAGGCATTCCCTTGAGTCCACATTTTAAAGTAGAAAACCTTCTCACTGATGAGGTAGAAATCAGCAGGTCAGTGTTTTGTAACCTCAGGATTTGTAACAGGACAATATTTGATTTATTAAATACAAGAAATGTGATGTGTTTTTTTTTACTTGTTGGTTTGTTTAGCTTCTGATTATGCCTTTTACACCTTTGAACAGGTGGAGCTCTGAGGGTTTGCCACCTGATGAGCATTCAGTGCAAAATGGAATCCTCACAACCAGAGGGAGTCGCTTCGCCATGTGCATTGATCCTCAGCAACAGGCATTCAGCTGGATTAAAAAAAAAGAAGAAAACAATAACCTCAAGGTACGAAAAGTTTCTCATTCTGCAGGTGTCAGAGACACATCTCACTGCCTACAGTCTCACGGTGTGTGGTCCTGAGCACAAAATCATCATTTTTCCTCAGATTACATCTTTCAACGATCCAGACTTTCTGAGACAGCTTGAGATGGCCATCAAGTATGGCAATCCAATCCTTTTCCAAGATGTGGATGAGTACATAGACCCAGTGATTGACGGTGTTCTGGAGAAAAATGTTAAAGGAGCAGAGGGTAGACAGTTTATCCTGCTGGCTGATAAGGAAGTGGATTACGATCCTAACTTTAAACTCTACCTTAACACTAAACTGGCGAATCCCAACTACTCTCCGTCAGTTTTTGGGAAAGCCATGGTCATCAACTACACAGGTAAGAGCTGAAACTTTAACTATAGTTGGGATCTGAATAAAAAATGAAAAGATTTGTTTGATTTGTGTAATTACAGTAACCCTTAAGGGTCTGGAGGACCAGCTCCTGAGTGTTATTATGGGCTTTGAGAAGAAGAAGCTGGAAGAACAACGTCAGCGTTTAATCCAGGATATCAGTAAAAAGAAGGCACTGCTAAAAAACCTCGTGGACTCCTTGCTTAGGGAGCTGGCTACATCTACTGGAAACATGCTGGATAACAAAGAGCTGGTCGAAACACTCGAGGAAACAAAGTCTAAAGCCAGCGAAGTCAGTTCATGTAAAACCTGGATTAGTAAACTAACTTGAAGACAATGTGGTCAGTAAACTTTTGCTGTGTTTGGTTTGTGACCACCAGGTTTTTGAGAAATTGAAGTTGGCTCAGAAGACATCGATGGATATTGACAAACTGAGAGACGGCTACCGACCTGCAGCGAAACGTGGCGCCATCCTCTTTTTTGCACTGACAGACATGGCTCTGGTTAACAGCATGTATCAGTACTCTCTGGAGACCTACCTGCAGGTGTTTGACTTGTCCCTGAGAAGATCTCTACCCCACTCATCCCTTGATCAAAGACTTGAAAGCATCATCAACACTCTCACAGACGATGTTTACAACTATGTCTGCACAGGTAAAAGAACTGATTTAGATAAAAAATGGAAAGTTGTGTATGTTAATCTGAGGATTTAATCCCCCTGTTGGACGTATTTAGGGCTGTTTGAGAAACACAAGTTGCTCTTCTCCTTTAATATGACGGTCAAGATTGAGCAGGCAGAGGGGAGGGCACCTCAGGAGGAGTTGGAGTTCCTAATCAAGGGTAACAAATCCAGAGAAATGTCTAAGAAGATTTTAATGAATGTAAGCAGATATACATGTACACATTGCTCAAAATGACTTTTCTTGTTTTAAAGGTAATTTATCTCTGGAAAGAAGCGCACATAAAAAGCCTTGTGACTGGCTTCCTAGCCAGAGCTGGGAGGATGTGGTTAAACTCGCAGAGCTCTTCCCTGAAAATTTTGCCTCTCTGCCCAGTGACATTGAGAAAAACTCCACTGACTGGAAAGCAGTAAGTTCAAGAGAGAAATAAATCTAAGGAACGACCTAAATCAGCCGAGTTCAAGTCATTGTTTTTGGTCTTCTCAGTGGTATGACTTAGACGCACCAGAACAAGCTCCATTCCCCATGAAATACAAAGAAAACCTGTCAGCATTTCAGAAGCTGTTGCTGCTGCGCTGCTTTCGTGTTGACAGAGTCATCAGAGCCATGACCGATTATGTCATTGCAACCATGGGAGAAAGGTGAGACACGGTTTCTGATGTCCATTTGAAGTATAACACACTAAACTGTTAAAAGAGCCTTAGCTGGTCTGAGGTAAAAAAAAAAAAAAAGTCCAACACGGTTAAGTTGACTAAAGATGATTTGTGTTTTTCTCAGATACGCCCAGCCACCTGTGATCAGCTTGACTGCAATACAGGAACAGAGCACACCTTCCTCTCCTGTTGTTTTTATCCTGAGCCCTGGCTCTGACCCAGCTGGTGACCTCAGGAAATTCACAGAGGAGTTGGGATTCAGAGGGAACAAGTTCAGGTCCCTTGCAATGGGCCAGGGCCAAGAGAAGGTATGAACGAACTTTTTCCAAAACTTGAACGTAAAATCCTACTAATTAATACAACGTGAATAGGTTTTGACACACATTGCGCCTAACCCCTTTGGCCCCTACCACGAGTGGTGAACCCATGGGTAGCTTTGGGTAGTGTCTGAAAGAATGAAATCGCAGATGCAAGCGGTCAAAATGGGCTTTCTCTGCAAGCTGGGCTCTCCACGCTCTAGAGATAGCGTGAGAAGCTCGGTCATCCAGGAGGGGTCAGAGTAGATCTGCTGCTCCTCCACATCGAGAGGAGCCAGTTGAGGTGGCTCGGACATCTAGTTAGGATACCTCCTGGACACCTCCCTGGTGAGGGAGGCGATCTAAAGGGAGACCCAGGACACGCTGGAGGGACTATGTCTGTCGGCTGACCAGGGAATTCCTTGGGATCTCCCCGGAAATGCTGGCCGAGTTGGCTGGGGAGTCTGGGCCTCTCTCCTCAGGCTGTTGCCCCCGGGACCCGACCTCAGATAAGCAGAACAGAGTGGGTGGATAGATTTTGATGTGAACTGTGTCTTGTACCTATCATCAAGGTGGCTCTAGATTGGTTGGAAACAGCAGTTTTTCGTGGTCAGTGGTTGATGCTACAGAACTGTCATCTACAAGTGAAGTGGCTGAAGGAACTGGAAAAAGCATTAGAGAAAATCACCAAGCCTAACCCCAACTTCCGCTTGTGGATCACTACCAATCCCATTAAGGATTTCCCTGTTGGCATTCTGCAAAAGTCTCTGAAGGTAAAACCCATTTTCACCTTGTGCGATGTTTTATTTTCATTTCTTGTTAATGCAGTAACCAATGGTATGAGAGTTATGTAAGCTCAGGATAACATAAAGAACCATGGTCTTTTTCATTGTATGTAGGTAGTGACAGAGCCTCCCAATGGGCTCAAGCTGAACATGAAAGCCACATACTCTAAAATCAAAAATGAGGCGTTGGACTCATGCCAGCACCCTGCCTTCAAAAGCCTGGTCTATGTGCTGGCCTTCTTTCATGCTGCGGTGCAAGAAAGACGCAAGTACGGCAAGATCGGCTGGAACGTGCCCTGTGATTTCACCGAGTCAGACTTCTTTGTAAGTTTTAGCTTTCAGTGGTATCAGACACACATCATTCTAGGGTGGTTTAAGACATGTTATTGTGTTTGGCAGGTGTGTATGGAGATCCTAAACACTTACCTGACTAAAGCTCACAACCAAGGAGAAACCAAAGTGCCCTGGGAAAGTCTGAAGTACCTTATAGGGGAGGTTAGTCTTCACTGTCTGCTGTTTTGTTGTAAAATACTTCAAGTTTAATGCATAAAATGTTTTCTTAGGTGATGTACGGTGGGAGAGCAATAGATAGCTTTGACCAAAGGATCCTTAATATCTACATGGATGAATACTTTGGAGACTTCCTGTTCCCTACCATTCGGCAGCCCCAGTTCCATTTCTTCAGTAACGGAGATGTGGATTACAAAATTCCCTCACCTGGGCCAAAGAGAGTCTATGTTGGTCAGTTATTATTTTTAGTACAGAGGTCATTTATTGTGATTCTTTATTGACACAGTTACACTGTTATGTGTTATAGAGGAGATTGAGAACATGCCACTAGCAAACACACCAGAGGTGATGGGACTTCATTCCAATGCAGAGATAGGGTACTACACTCTAGCCGTTAAAGAGATGTGGGCTCATCTAATAGATCTTCAACCTCAGAGCGGTGAGATTTGGCTTATTTAACTTAATTGATTATCTTGTTTTATGGCATTCTAGTAATAGCTGCTATGAGGAGAGTGCGATGAATGCTTTCATGCATTTGCTCTTCCTTGGTTTCTACATGCTCCTTCATGCTTCAGGTGAATCTGGTGGAAACATCACCAGAGATGAGCACATCAGCCAGGTGGCTAAGGACATTCACAGCAAACTTCCCCACCTTTTTGATTTGGAGGTTATTCGTAAAACGTTTGGCACAGACATCTCTCCAACATCTGTGGTTCTTCTTCAAGAACTGGAGCGCTTCAACAAACTAGTGGCCCAAATGCAGCAGTCTTTGGTTCAGCTGCAGAGGGTGAGTTTGGGAACAAAGGGAGCAAAAATATTTAGAATACAAACGTTCAGCTTTGCTCTTTACTGCTGTCTAGATTTGTTTCTGCTCTCTTGTATGTCACAGGCATTGGCCGGGGAGGTAGGTATGAGCAGCGAGCTGGATGAAGTGGCTCGTGCTCTTTTTAATGGTCACATTCCTGCCATTTGGAAGAAGTTGGCACCTGAGACTCAGAAGTCCCTCGGCAACTGGATGAGCCATTTCAAAAGACGTTATGAACAGTACACCCACTGGGTAAGGATGATTATAAACCAACAAAGGACATTTTTGTTCAATATCTGATATATTTATGGTTAAAAATCTCGTTCAGTTGTGTTTAAAATAGATTTGTTGTGGTCTCTAGTGTGAATGATGGCCTTGTGAGTCGCACTCTAATGCCTCTGTTTTAGAAGTTGGTTGGAGGAGTGGGGGGCAGAAAACTGCAGCGTTTGGAGACTTTTCATACTCGTAATATGCAAATGCCTCTGACTGGCTAACAGCAATGTGACCCTTCCACTGCCTTCTTTTGATTTTTCTTGGATGAAAAAAAAAAAACAATGTGGATGTATTAAATCATCGACATTAATATATGGACAATGGGTTTCCATAGGCTCCAATAACAAGTTTTTATGCTAAAATGGGAGGTGGCCACCACCGCCATTTTGACCGTGTCACAGGTTCCGCCAAGTCCAGACAATTCCATAAAAAGGAAGAGAGGAGGAGCTGAGGGTGGGGCTGTAAGGCTGGGATCAATTCAATTCGAGTTTATTTCTTTAGCGCCAAATCACGACAAGAGTCATCTCAAAGCACTTCACATAATAAACATTCCAATTCAGGTTAGTTCATTAAGCCAATCAGAAATAATGTTTCCTATATAAGGAACCCAGCAAATTGCATCAAGTCACTGACTAGTGTCAGTGACTATACAGCAATCCTCATATTAAGCAAGCATAAAGCGACAGTGGAGAGGAAAACTCCCTTTTAACAGGAAGAAACCTCCAGAGAATCCTGGCTCCGTATAAGCAGCCATCCTCCACGACTCACTGGGGATGGAGAAGACAGAGCGCACACACACACACACACACACACACAAGCACACGCGCACGCACACACACACACACACACACACACACACACACACACACACACAAAGACAAGTAATGTGTCTGTAGTTATATTGTGATGTCTTAGTAAATATTCTATTTGGTGAGAGATAAACTTTATTGTATTTATCCTAGTGGATCTATAATTAAACGGATAAACTAGTAGTAGCACATCCAACGTCAAGGAAAGCAAAAAGTTATTATCAGGAGAGAGAGAATGTTTTAGTGGTTAGCAGCAGTGTGCTAGTCGATGGCCCCCTCCATGAGGCCACCACAGCTCAGCAGAACATCGTTGTAGCTTCTTCTGGGGAGAAAAACACTTAGAGAGAAAATAAAGTTAACAGCTGAAATTGCAGAAAATAATACAGTTTAAGAGCAGACTGTAGAAGAAAGCAGTAGAGTGTGAAAAGTGGTCAGTGTGTCCTCCAGCAGTCTAAGCCTATAGCAGCATAACTACAGAGATAACTCTGGATAATCTATCCTATTTAGATGGAGGCATGTTGGAGGCAGGGCAAAGGAGAGCCGTCTTTACCGACTGTACACTCCACCTCCCTCTACTCCCCCACTTGTCCAGATTTAGGCTAACATCAGATTTTAACCATAGGCCCTATCAAATAAACATGTTTTAAGCCTTTTCTTAAAAGTAGACAAAGTGTCTGCCTCACGGACTAAGGCTGGGAGCTGGTTCCACAGGAGAGGAGCCTGATAGCTAAAAGATCTGCCTCCCATCCTATTTTTAGATATTCTGGGAACCACCAGTAAACCTGCAGTCTGAGAGCGAAGTGCTCGGTAAGGAACATATGGAACAATCAGGTCACTGATGTATGATGGAGCTTGATTATTAAGAGCCTTATATGTGAGAAGAAGGATCTTAAAATCTATTCTGAATTTAACAGGCAGCCAATGTAGGGAAGCTAAGACAGGAGAGATATGATCTTGCTGTGACACTTCTGAGTTGAGCTGAGCTGAGTTTGTGATGGCCAGGCCACACAAGTGTTCTTGTGTCATTGATGAGCCTCAGCTCTGAGTTGCTTCACTCAGCAAAAGCAACTGTAACAGGGAATGGTAAGGTTAAGTTCTAAGAAAGGACCACCAGAAATCTGGCCCTGTGGTAAGTAGGAGCTATGCTAAGGGAAAGGAGATTATGTGGTGGCGTCATATATGCGACGTGCCGACGTCCGATTTGTAGTCATACTAATTACAAATGTTTACAAGCTGATAAATCTCAAAGTATGTGACTGGCATGGTCAAAACACACTTCATTACTTTTCATTTAAATCGAAGTATTAAATATTTGCGATCCAGGGCGTAAGGCAAAGCAGATTAGAAAATAGCTCTTTTAGCCCCATTGACTTGCATTCGTTTTTTTTTTGTTCTTCTGGGGAACCATGAGCCAACTGGAAAAGGAGGAGACTTAGGGTGTTTCTCAATGTCAAGAAACCTTGACTTGATGTCTTGGTCCCGTCCCAGTTGCTTAGGAGATATATCATCAGAAACCGCCAAGGCGTGTTCCAGTGTTCATGTTCTATCGAGGCATCTGTTCTCCGTTTGTTAGCCATTTAGCTAGCTAAGCAAGAATACACAGGAGGTGTCTTGTAGCCTAGCCATGGTCTAAAATTACCCAGAATGTGAACAATCGTATTTCAAAAATAACAAGTGTTATGTTTCTCTGTGGACACGACCTTCAAATAAATTATATTTGCGTGCCAGGATTATGTGTATGTGTTTTGTCTACAAGGTGGACAAGGGAGAGCCAAAAGTGATATGGCTGGCAGGGCTTCACATCCCAGAGTCCTACCTGACTGCTCTGGTTCAAGCTGCATGCAGGAAAAATGGCTGGCCTCTGGATCGTTCCACTCTGTACACAAAAGTGACCTCCTTCCGCAGCGAGGTTGAGGTCACTGACAGACCAAAAGAAGGTAACAAAAGACATTTATCCTTGCCCGCATGGTTAGTAGGTAGTTGTAGAACTAACAGTGGTATTGGCCTTAGGCTGCTTCGCATCTGGCCTGTATCTGGAGGGAGCAGACTGGGACATGGAGAAGGGCTGCTTGATGACAAGTAAAACAAAAGTTCTGGTTGTTGAACTTCCCATTCTCAATATCATCCCCATAGAGACACACTGTCTTGGACTGGAGGTATGGACACCCACACTGCTCTACACATTTATTTTATTTTGGATATTCCTCTGTGACTGTCTTCATTCCCACCAGGATACATTGAGGACACCAGTTTACACCACATCAATCCGCAGGAATGAAATGGGTGTGGGGCTGGTGTTTGAGGCTGACCTGTGTACCGACATGGACATCTCACACTGGGTCCTTCAGGGAGTGTGTTTGTGCCTCAACACAGAAATGTAATGTTGTGTGTGTTCTTCTTAAACTTTTAAATGTGTGTTTGTGCCTCAACACAGAAATGTAATGTTGTGTGTGTGTTCTTCTTAAACTTTTAAATGTGTGTTTGTGCCTCAACACAGAAATGTAATGTTGTGTGTGTTCTTCTTAAACTTTTAAATGTGTGTTTGTGCCTCAACACAGAAATGTAATGTTGTGTGTGTGTTCTTATTAAACTTTTAAATGTGTGTTTGTGCCTCAACACAGAAATGTAATGTTGTGTGTGTGTTCTTCTTAAACTTTTAAATGTGTGTTTGTGCCTCAACACAGAAATGTAATGTTGGGTGTGTGTTCTTATTAAACTTTAAATGTGTGTTTGTGCCTCAACACAGAAATGCAATGTTGTGTGTGTGTTCTTATTAAACTTTAAATGTGTGTTTGTGCCTCAACACAGAAATGTAATATTGTGTGTGTTCTTCTTAAACTTTTAAATGTGTGTTTGTGCCTCAACACAGAAATGTAATGTTGGGTGTGTTCTTATTAAACTTTTAAATGTGTGTTTGTGCCTCAACACAGAAATGTAATGTTGGGTGTGTGTTCTTATTAAACTTTAAATGTGTGTTTGTGCCTCAACACAGAAATGCAATGTTGTGTGTGTGTTCTTATTAAACTTTTAAATGTGTGTTTGTGCCTCAACACAGAAATGCAATGTTGTGTGTGTGTGTGTGTGTTCTTATTAAACTTTTAAATGTGTGTTTGTGCCTCAACACAGAAATGTAATGTTGTGTGTGTGTTCTTATTAAACTTTTAAATGTGTGTTTGTGCCTCAACACAGAAATGTAATGTTGTGTGTGTGTTCTTATTAAACTTTTAAATGTGTGTTTGTGCCTCAACACAAAAATGTAATGTTGGGTGTGTGTTCTTATTGAACTTTTAAATGTGTGTTTGTGCCTCAACACAGAAATGTAATGTTGTGTGTGTTCTTATTGAACTTTTAAATGTGTGTTTGTGCCTCAACACAGAAATGTAATGTTGTGTGTGTGTTCTTATTAAACTTTTAAATGTGTGTTTGTGCCTCAACACAGAAATGTAATGTGTGTGTGTTCTTATTGAACTTTTAAATGTGTGTTTGTGCCTCAACACAGAAATGTAATGTTGTGTGTGTTCTTATTGAACTTTTAAATGTGTGTTTGTGCCTCAACAGCGAAATGTAATGTTGTGTGTGTTCTTATTAAACTTTTAAATGTGTGTTTGTGCCTCAACACCGAAATGTAATGTTGTGTGTGTGTTCTTATTAAACTTTTAAATGTGTGTTTGTGCCTCAAAACCGAAATGTAATGTTGTGTGTGTGTTCTTATTAAACTTTTAAATGTGTTTTTGTGCCTCAACACAGAAATGTAATGTTGTGTGTGTGTTCTTATTAAACTTTTAAATGTGTGTTTGTGCCTCAACACCGAAATGTAATGTTGTGTGTGTGTTCTTATTAAACTTTTAAATGTGTGTTTGTGCCTCAACACAGAAATGTAATGTTGTGTGTGTGTTCTTATTAAACTTTTAAATGTGTGTTTGTGCCTCAACACAGAAATGTAATGTTGTGTGTGTGTTCTTATTGAACTTTTAAATGTGTGTTTGTGCCTCAACACAGAAATGTAATGTTGTGTGTGTTCTTATTAAACTTTTAAATGTGTGTTTGTGCCTCAACACAGAAATGTAATGTTGTGTGTGTGTTCTTATTAAACTTTTAAATGTGTGTTTGTGCCTCAACACAGAAATGTAATATTGTGTGTGTTCTTATTAAACTTTTAAATGTGTGTTTGTGCCTCAACACAGAAATGTAATGTTGTGTGTGTGTTCTTATTAAACTTTTAAATGTGTGTTTGTGCCTCAACACAGAAATGTAATATTGTGTGTGTTCTTATTAAACTTTTAAATGTGTGTTTGTGCCTCAACACAGAAATGTAATGTTGTGTGTGTTCTTATTGAACTTTTAAATGTGTGTTTGTGCCTCAACACAGAAATGTAATGTTGTGTGTGTTCTTGTTAACCTTTTAAATGTGTGTTTGTGCCTCAACACAGAAATGTAATGTTGTGTGTGTTCTTATTAAACTTTTAAATGTGTGTTTGTGCCTCAACACAGAAATGTAATGTTGTGTGTGTTCTTATTAAACTTTTAAATGTGTGTTTGTGCCTCAACACAGAAATGTAATGTTGTGTGTGTGTTCTTATTGAACTTTTAAATGTGTGTTTGTGCCTCAACACAGAAATGTAATGTTGTGTGTGTTCTTATTAAACTTTTAAATGTGTGTTTGTGCCTCAACACAGAAATGTAATGTTGTGTGTGTGTTCTTATTGAACTTTTAAATAAGAAACTAATGTTGTCATTTTATTTACTCTGTCCCTATTGGATCACACAAGTGTATGTACGTTTATAGATAGATGAACAAAACTTGCATATTTGTGCCTAATGAAATCTTGGACTTTATCCCCTGTAAATTTAAGCTCATTTTAAATCGTTTGAAGGCCCAGTAATTACTTCAGAGTCATCAAAGTTAAAGTCATCATCACACACTGGTGAAATTACATCTCCGTTTTTGACCCATCTCCATGGGGGGAACGATGAGTTGTAGCTGTGCATGGGAACTATTTGGTGGTTAACCTCCCAATCCAACCCCTTAAAGCAGAGTGTTTTTAAGTGAAATATACTTTGAATATGCGGCCAGGGATGCTCGCCAGTTTTAGAAACGAGGACGGTGGCTTGTGCCATTTTCATGCATTTCTTCTATATCCATGCCTGTTTTAAATAGCCGTAATACGCACCCTCCCACAGCAATGGATCTGGTGGTCATGTGACTGCTTGGCAACATCTGATTAGTGAAAGAGCAACTGATAGATCCACTTGTAAAGTGATCTGATGTTATTTATTGTGTGAAATACATTTTTTAAGTAACAAATTAAATACCAAATATAGCAGAGTAAAAGTAGCCTTTCATCTTCAAAATGTACACTCCAAGAATGGTGACTAGTCTGAGCTGCAGTTTGGTGCATGAGCACAAACCACGTCAGGACCCGTCCCCCCACAACTGGCTACCACCCGACACAGACACACAATGCACCCACCCTTTTGGCTCCTCCCACGAGTGGTGAGCTCATGGAAAGGGGGACCCACATCTCCTCTTTGGGCTGTGCTCGGCCGGGCTACCAGGTGCTCGCCAATGTGCCCCAGCTCCAGGCCCGGCTCCAGAGGGAGAAACAGGCCGTCAGCTGTCACACCCCTTCCTACCTGTGCCCAGTACTGGCACACTGACACTTCAGGAGCATCAAGTGAGATGTGCTCTGAGGTCAGTGAAGCCCAGGAAGGCAACAGGCCCTGACGGAATACATGGGAATGTTCTCAGAGCATGTGCTGACCAACTGTCTGGGGTCTTCACTAAAATCTTCAACCTGTCCTTGTCACTCAACACTGTACCTCCCTGCCTCAAAACCTCCACCATCATCCCCATCGCTAGGAAAACAGTTGTGGACAGCCTAAACGAACGACTACAGGCCTGTTGCACTTATGCCTGTAGTGATAAAGTGCTTTGAGAAACTGGTCAGTCAGCACATCAGGGCCTGTCTGCCTCCCACTCTGGACCCCCACCAATTTGCCTACAGGGCAAACTGATCAACCGAGGACGCAATCTCCATAGCACTCCATACTGCGCTGAGCCATCTGGAGCACCAAGAAAACAATGTGAGAATGCTCTTCCTGGACTTCAGTTCAGCATTCAACCAGAGGCGGTTTTACCATTAGGCATAGGTAGGCGGCCGCCTGGGGCCCCCTTGTGTTGGGGGGCCCCCTAGCCCTGACCGCCGGCACTCCTCTGTTAATGCCACAATATTCTTATTACCAACCTGTGGCCGCAGACGGGATTGGACATGCTTCTCATTACCATAATTCCTGAACCTTTCAAGATATCATTAAAATTCCAAAAGTGCTGAAAAGATTAAAAATGGGGCTTTTCGTGCATATACAATACATTACGGTAGCCACCAGGATTCCCTGTCTTGAGCGCAACGAATCACAACACAGATTCAGAGACGTGCTGAGTTTGTCATCCAAAATGCTCCGTTTTATAACTTTTAAATGGCTGATCAGATCCAAAAACTTCGAACGGTTCCTAAAAGTACATAAAAGCAGCTTTCCAATGATCTATAGCATGAAGCAATCCGAGTTACGGAAAATATTGCTACAAGGGGAAATCCTTCTCTACAGCCAGATTGAAACGGAGCGCAGCGCCGCAGTGAAAGCGGATAACGGGACGGGGAAGCTGATTAGCATAAAAACCAGCATGAAATTATGGAAATGCCTCAAAGAAAATCAACACGATCTATTAGGTGTCCGGGTCTAGAACCGCGCCTGGGTGTCCCAGAAGGCTTATATCTGAAGACAGTGACCACGAAGAAGGACAGATCTCCAGTGAACCAGCATGAATGTTTGTTCAGTCTTTATTTTTAATTTTTTTATTTGAACAACCCTGAACTATTTGCTAATTGTAAGCTTCAGCTTCATTCCAGCATCATTTATCTTTTCACCATAAATAAGTATTTTTGCTAAAACTAAAGTTTTTGGTATAGCAGTGCACGGTGAAAATAAAAGGTCTTAAAACAGCTAAAAAAGATACCAAGGTTCACACTTTTTTAAGAATAGATGCATTACAGTTCAAAGTTTAAATTGTTTGCCCAGTAATTTAGAAGTTCCTGTTCAGTAATAAATGTAAAAAAATTCAAATCCGTTTTTTGCTTTTTTCACTTTTAAGCTGATTTTTTAAAGGCGTTAATAGAAATAAATTCTAAATACAAACCATACACTAAAAGCTGAGGTTGTTCTGAAAAAAGAAGAGTTACACACACTTTGTACTTTTTATTACAATTTTACAGCCATAAGATTAAAAAATATCAGGCGGCCCTGATATAATTATGGTCATAAGAGGGTTATTAAGACGGCGATGCACAAACAGGAAGTGATTGGTAGTCATTCCACTCCAATCCAGTTGGTGGCGGTAATGCACCAAATTGTTGTTTGCCAAGTGCCATAAGACCACAAATCAGAAGTAGAAGAGAGGTGGGAGCGTCCGTAACAAACTCAAAGCGATAGTCAAAACATGAAGCATGAAATGGAGTTATCCTAGTGGCTCCAATAAGAGAAAGACGCAGCTCGCTTAATGAAAGCTTTTATTTTCACTTCTGAACGTGACGTCGTTTTTTGATGTAAACATCAAAAGGAAGCAGAAAGGAAAGACAATGGAAAATGTTTCAAGGGAGGAAAACACAGACCAAAATGGAAAATAGAAAAAAAAAACTAAGGCAAAAGCACAGGAGCACTGACAGGAAGAAGAAAGCAGAGCAAATATTGAAAGTGCTCAAAGGGAGAGAAAAACAGGAAAAAAGAGGAGGACTAATAAAAAGTAAAAATAACTCATGTCAGAAGAGGGGAGAGTTTCGCAAATCCAGTTAAAGGTAAGATTGTCGAAAATTTAGTGTAAGGGGCCCCATGTCTGTGTTCGCCTTGGGCCCCCAAATTGCTAAATCCGCCCCTGCATTCAACTACATCATTCTGGAGATCCTGGGACTCTCCACCCCCATCTGCCTCTGGATTAAGGACTTCCTGACAAATAGGCCACAGTCTGTCAGACTCGGCCCATACCTGTCCATCACCATCACACTCAGCACCGGCTCTCCTCAAGGATGTGTTCTGAATCCCTTCCTCTTTACACTCTACACATCCGACTGCTGCCCGACCCATCTCTCAAACACCATCATAAAGTGTGTGGATGACACCATCATGGTTGGACTCATCTCAAGGAGGGCAGAGATGAGGTCAGCAGACTGACTGTGTGGTGTTCAGTAAACAACCTCCAACTGAACACCACAAAAACCAAAGAAATTATCTTGGATTTCAGAAAGGACTGCGCTAACCCAGCCCCACTTTACATTCACAGGGACTGTGTGGAGAGGGTACACTCCATGAGGTTTCTGGGCGTGCAGATCTCTGATGATCTCTCCTGGACTGCAAATACCACAGCGGTGCTATAAAAAAAAAGGCCCGGCAGCGTTTCCACTTCCTGAGAGTGCTCAGGAGGAACGACCTAGACGCTGCTGGTCACATTCTACAGAGCCATCATAGAGAGCATCCTAGCGTACGGCATCACAACATGGTAGGCAGGGTGCTCATCTGCAGACAGGAAAGTACTGCAGAGTCATCAGCACAGCCCAGAAGATCACTGGTTGCTCTGTGCCAAGCCTGGATGGCATTGCCAACTCTCGTCACCCCAGTAACCATCTGTTACCGTCAGGCCAACAGGAGGATGTCCCTTTGGCTGACTGGTTAGCGTGCGTGACTCTCACCTGGCAGTCTGGGGATCGAATCCCGCCCGGGCCCTCGTTTCTCCACCTTGCCACACAAGGAACATTTCTTAAGACGTGTTTCTGCTGTGATTTAGGCCTGTGATGCTGGAAGGCTGAAGATTATCCCGGAGTGGAGAATGCTAAATGGTTTCCTTGGTAAGTGTTGCTGGTTTTATTAATTATTTTTCTAATAATTTTATTAATGTTCAAATAGCATAGCAAACAATAATTTCACCCTCAGAAAATTCACACAGAATTTCTGATTCAGCAGAGGCAATAACAGCCTGAATGAGCATAAAGCAAGATCAAAACTTAAGATAAAGTTTTCATTATATTAAAATACTTTCTTTTAAGATTATGGATTGTATAAAATTTATACTTTATAAAATATACTGTAATCATTTAGGCTGCGTGTTTATAGCTTGTTTTTGTGCCTTTAAACATGCTTCAGTACATTCAAATTAATCTATTTATTCTTGAATGCCTTTCCACCATCATGTGATTAATTTGTCGACATTTATAAATGCTGTAAGCTATTGTATTTAGCAGAAAATCTTTTTAATTAAATGTAAACAGAGTAAATAAGAGAAACATTTGCTCTGTTTACATAGTTTAACGACATCTAGTGGTTATTTGCTGGTACTACTGCCTTAACAATGACTCTCCCAATGGATAAAATATTAAAAAAAATGTCTGATAGAATGTTTAACATACAACACATGACTTATTTTGGCATACCAACCACCAATTTGTAACCAAAGATTAGGCTATGTAAAATGTGAATGAACTTTTATTAGTAACTTTGGTAAGTTTCAGATTTCAATTCATTAAATAACATCGATGGAGGGGGGCCCAAAAAATGCAGCCTGCCTAGTGTAGTCCATTTATTTAATCCGGCTCTGCCTGCAGGAGCCCTACTTGATTCATTTTTTGTGGCTTCTCTCGTTATGCTCGACGTAGCTAAAATGTACAATTTTAGCGTTTCTTCTTTTGTTTGAAACGAGAAGTGAACTTTATACTTTTAAAGGTGTGTTGATTTTATAAGCTCAATTAATTTGCGCTGGCCTCTTTTATTGTAGGTATGCGCGCCTGTCTTAATTAGCTCCGCACATTCTCCGGCAGATGCCTTTACCTAAAGCAAGCACACTCATTTCCTGGACAAGCCCAGAGACAGCCAATCAGCTCGCCTTCTTGCTACGTTAGCACGTCTCTGGCAAAAACAACAGCTCGAGCCTCAATTTGTGTCCAGTTTCGTTAAACGACTATCGGTTAAACGGAGCTCGGGAAATGTGGAACTAACCACAGCTTTTATTTCTGGTGGGCGCTGTATCTATTTGGATTTCTGTCTAGTCTCACGTCGGGGCTAATTTGATGTGCTGACGCGCTGTTAGCCGCCAGCTAACTGTAGCGAACACCAGCGATCCAACAGAAAAAGATGGGGTCCATCCTGAGCCGCAGGATTGCTGGAGTGGAGGACATCGATATCCAGGCCAACTCTGCCTATCGATTTCCTCCGAAATCTGGTGAGTGATAGACACGGCCACGCGTCGAGACTTAGTTATTTCATAAACAATGACGCGAAGTCGAAGACGCCGACTTCTGTTTTTGGTAATCGGGTTAATAACGTATTGTATGTGATTGATCGTGGACCAGCAGATAAACAGTCTATGAACGCTCGGTCAGGTTTAAATGTCAGGATGTCACATGTTGCTGAAAAATGTCGCGTTTGCTAAGCTGTTTTAATGACTCGAACCCTGTCGGTGAGAGTCAGCATTGTTTATTTGTCACAGAAGTTGGATCTTGTGAAAGTAAAGGTAATCGAAACATCACCTGGGTGAACGAGTAACCCGCATGAATAAATAAATCCTCAAACATTCACTTGTAACCAGTGTGACAGATACACCGGGAGGATTCACTCCACTCCGGCTACTGCAAGGACTCATTTGTAATAAGTGTCTTTCTGCTAAAATCGCGTCTTGCATGTCATGCTTCTGGCACAGTTAATAAACTTATTTTCTCTCCAGGGAATTACTTTGCCAGCCATTTCTTTATGGGAGGAGAGAAGTTTGACACGCCACATCCAGAGGGATACCTCTTTGGGGAAAACATGGACCTGAATTTTCTTGGAAACAGACCTGTGCAGGTACCAATCAATGCTCGCTTAACTAACGATCCAGCATTATACTATACTATAATGTACTACGTAGGTAGTATATTTTGTACTTGCCAAACACATTTCCAAATCCTCTCAAGAACAGCTTTTATTATGAAACCATTTCAATCTATTTCAGTTGTTTCTCTTTTTGTTTCACCAGTTCCCGTATGTGACACCTGCACCCCACGAACCCGTGAAAACCCTCAGGAGCCTGGTTAACATCAGAAAGGACTCTTTGCGTTTAGTCAGGTAAAGGCTGTGACATAGTATTACATTACCTGCATTTAAAAGTAAACATTTTCTGATAATGTTTCTAAACTTCTTGATTTCAGGTATAAAGATGACTCTGACACCTCAGGGGAGGAGGGTGTAAAACCGAAGGTTCAGTACAGTGTGGAGTTTACCTTTGACGCTGACGCTCGGGTAGCCATCACCCTCTACTGCCAAGCGTTTGAGGAATTCTCCAATGGGATGGCCGTGTAAGCTTTTCACCTTGTAACTCACGTACCAGACACGGTTTGCGTCTAACGGTAACATAGTGAGAGTCCTTTTGTCTGAAACAAAATAAACCATTTATATAGAATCTGTAACATGGTTAGATTTGCTTCTATCTCATGTGTACATCACAGCTGCTGCTATAGTGTGAAGCGTTGTGCCAGAGACACTTAGACTGTGTTTTGTAAGTGGTGAGCTCCAAGCCTCAGAGCACAGAGTCTAGAATAGATGCAGTGGGTCCTTAGCAACGAGTAGTCTCCATGGATACCGCTGATAAGACTGGGATGAAGATGAAAGTTAAAGTCTGCGCTGAAGTTAACATCTTCTGATGAGCAGACGTTGTTGCAATTTTTGTTTTGTTTTGTTTGTTTTGTTTTTTCATATCAGTGCTGATTTCTTCACCGCAGTTAAGGTTTTGTTACAGGATTGCCTTTTGTGGTTCTAGGTACAGCCCAAAAGATCCCACCATGGTCTCTGAAACTGTGCATTACAAGAGAGGAGTGAGCCAGCAGTTCTCCATGCCATCATTTAAAATCGATTTCAGCGAGTGGAAAGAGGAGGATGTAAGTTTAGAGTTTGTCACTACTGCACACAAACACTCCAAATGGGTGTGTGAATTAATATACTATCTTTTTTTGTTTTTCTTTGAAGCTGAATTTTGACCTGGACCGAGGAGTGTTCCCCATGGTCATCCAAGCTGTGGTTGACGAAGGAGACGGTGTGTTAGGATGACTCGTTCATTCTGAAGTCTCTGTAATGGTTGCACAGGTTCATGTTCCACACTAACGCCGCTGGTTTGTTTGTTTGTTTGTTTGTTTTTAAGATTGTCTTGGACACGCTCACATACTTTTGGCAGCATTTGAAAGAGTACGTATGTTTGTTATAACTTAAATACATATGATGTATATAAAGCTTTCATATGAACTCGAACATTTCCTTATCCCTCCAGCATGTTGATGGCAGTTTCTCCGTTAAACCACTGAAGCAAAAGCAAATAGTAAGTTTACTAATATTGTTTGAATATTTTCTGAGTCACTTTGGTTTTTGCTGGTTCTTTGTTCAGCTTGAGATCTGGACTGTTCATCTTTGATGATTTAAATCAAATCAGTTTTGCATTTTAAAAACAGCAAAGGAGCTTTAGCCTCGTCTAACCCTCTCCATCAGTTTAGTTTGACTTGGTCCTTGTGTTCCAGGTGGATCGTGTGAGCTACCTCTTACAGGAAATCTATGGGATCGAGAACAAAAACAACCAAGAAACTAAGGTTCTGTTCATAAATGCGCATTCACGCCATGATGCTCTGCGCCTTTCTGTTTTATTGATGTGTTTATTTTCAGCCTTCTGATGATGAGAACAGTGACAACAGCAACGAGTGTGTGGTCTGTCTGTCCGACCTGCGGGACACACTCATCCTGCCCTGCAGACATCTGTGCCTCTGCAACTCCTGTGCAGACACCCTCCGTTACCAGGCCAACAACTGTCCCATCTGCAGGCTGCGTAAGACAAGTTGATTACAAAAGCTTTAATGACGCTAAGTAATGAATTTCTATTGTTAACGTGTTGAGTTGTCTCTTGGGCTGCTCTGACCAGCCTTTAGAGCCCTGCTGCAGATCAGAGCGGTGAGGAAAAAGCCCGGAGCTCTGTCCCCTGTCTCCTTCAGCCCAGTTCTCGCTCAAACCATGGACCACGATGAGCACTCGGTGAGACACAAAGACACGCACAAGTTGAGAGTGTAGCATTTATGATGACAAAACCTGTTAAAACAATCTCAGTTGCAATATTAAGGCCAGCATCAAGTCGGCTGATTCTTATCGTTTTTACAGAGCACAGACTCGGTCCCTCCTGGTTTTGAGCCCATCTCGCTGCTGGAGGCTCTGAACGGTCTGTGCTCGGTGTCTCCTCCCATCCCGTCTGCCCCACTTTATGATGAAATCAATTTCTCGGGGGGTCTGGGTGGGGACAACCGACAGCTGAGCTCACCAGAGCATTTAAGTGATGGAAGCCTGCAGAAAGGAAAAGTCAGCAAGTCACCCGACAGGTGAAGTACACCTTCATAGTGAAGGACACGCTTCAAAAGTCTGGACTTTGGTTTTCTATGAAACGCTACTTTCAGACAAGCCTAAGGTTGCAGTCGACTTTATTAGGAAAGAAAATGGGTGCAGTTACTTATTTTGGCTCCCGTCTTGTTTCCAGCACCCTCAGATCGCCGTCCTCTCCCATCCAGGAGGAAGATGAGGAGAAGCTTTCTGAGATGTCAGACGCTCAGCCACACACACGTCTCTCCAGCAGCCCCGCCCCCACAGACGTAAGCTCCTCCTCTGGCTGATGTGTGAACTTCAGCTCTGCTGCAGACTGAACCTCTTTGCTCCTTTTGCTTCAGGCCACAGCAGTCGAAGACGTGGCCGAGTCTCTTTCTCCAGATGATGGTGAGTTTTTCTCATTAGGCACTCGGTAAAAAGGCGTGTGATGTGTTTGACGTTGTTGCTGTCCTGGGTGGTCCAGAGGACAGGATGCATTCTGGAGGAGACATCGTGCAGGACTGCAGCAGCGAACGCTGCAGCTTGACCAAAACAGAAAGCGACCCTGCGGGTGATCTTTCTCTGCCTGGTGAGACATTTTTTGTCGGGAACACGGAGGATAAGTTCCTTTTTCAGACAAATATTTAACACAGAAGGAATAGAACGGGAATAAAACTGCTCTGTACTCCGATGGCAGCCCAGGGGAAATAAGTCGACTGCTTCTTTTACATCTTTTTCTTACGTGCTTTATTAGAATGATGAAACCTGACCCTGGATCTGTAGCTCAGTGCCTAACTTTCATCAGGTGTTTTCTGTGCTTTGCATCTAACCTGTGTGCTCTTGCCTCTGCGCGTTTTCTAAAGCCTGCCGCGCACGAGAGCAAACTGCTGAGCAAACGGCCTCGAATGACCGTTTGCTCAGCAGATACCTCGCTGTGTGCGCCTGATTTTCACTGAGTTTTCCGCCTCACGAGACGCTGAGGTGAATATCTGACCAGTTAGATATTTTCCGCCTCACGGAGGGTAAAAACTCATCGTGTGCGCGCTACTGAGCTGCCGGCTGAGCTGAAATATTCTAGTGGCCAATCAAAGCGCGCGCTCTGCTCACATGACCCCAAGATGGCAGCCCCCCCCCCGTCTGCATGTCAGAAAATAAACAAAACGGAGACAAAGCTGGAAACTAACAAAAGGCCTCCACTTTTTTGTTGATGAAGCGTCGCCGGCATCGGCATTTCAAGGTTAGGAAAGTATGTGTACGATGGCTGGAAAGAAGGGCCAGGCAAGGAGTTTATGCCAATCTGCTCCAAGAGATGCGCCTCGAAAGCCCAAAATGCTTCCGACAGTACCGCCTCCTGGATCCTTCCAGTGGGTAGTGGAAACAGTGGGCCCATCAATCCGCAAGTTACCATTTTGTTTATTTTTCTGACACGCAGACAGGGCAGGGGGCTGCATCTGAATACATCTTGGGGTCATGTGATCAGAGAACGCGCTTTGATTGGCCACTAGAATATTTCAGCTCAGCCGGCAGCTCAGTAGCGCGCACTCGGCGAGTTTTTACTCCCGTGAGGGGGGGGAAATATCTAACCGGTCAGATATTCACCTCAGCGTCTGGTGAGGCGGAAAACTCTGTGAAAATCAGGCGCACACCGTGAGGGATCTGCTGAGCAAACGGTCATTCGAGGCCGTTTGCTCAGCAGATTGCTCTCGTGTGTGGCAGGCTTAACACTCCTCTTCTGTTCCATGCCATCCTGTCTCTTTGATCCTCCTCACTGTTCCACAGCTCTAGGTCCTGATTCCTGCTCTATTGGTGTGGAGGAGTAACTGTGGTATGTAAGCTTTCCTGTCTGCTCTGCCTCTTGCATGTACGAACTCTGCCCCCTCCCTCCCTCCCTCCAAGTGTGGTTTTCCATGATTACATTCACCAAAGTCTGATGGAGCTAAAATGTTTCCGCAGCAGATCTGCTGCTTTAAGCAACTTTGAAACGTCTGTGAAGGCAAACTGATGAGAAATAAGCAGTTTCTCTCGCCTCACTGAAAGTCTGGCAGGAAGGTTTGCTTTGAAGCAAATTCATTATCTGTTTATATCTCCCACCGCAGGTTCTTCAGAGTCGATAGAAAGTCTAAAAAGTCAGAGCACAAACTGCTCCAGCCATCCTCTCCTGTGTCCCACAAGCAGCCTTCATTTGGAAGATGAACACTTCAGCCCCTGACTCGGCTCCGCTCTCCAAAGATCACCCTGTCTGCGTTCCTCTCCCATGCCAGCTCCCTCCTCCTGCTCTGTCTAAACTTCTGTTTGTGAGATCACAAGAGCAGAAAGTAGACTTCAAAGCAAGCTGACGTGGATGAGGAAGAACTCTTGTTTAATCGTTACAGAAAGGCTTTTGAAGGAAAACCTCTTTCCCCTCTTGAGCTTTGGAAACATTTCATTAACGCATCGGTTTTGCTTGATGACCAGATTAGTGGTTTTGTGATGTAGGGTCCAGAGATTTTTCACCACCTGTATTGGTGGAACCTTTAAGCACACTTGGTCTGATTTAACCACGTTGACACTAAACTTAAAGCTGGTTTCTTTTACTTTTACGGTCTTGACAACGTTGCGTCTGTGTGCGTTTTAGGTTGTCTTGCACTCCAACAAAACCGTTTTATCATTCCTTCCTTTTAGCAGGCAAATATGAGATGATTTGAACTCGTCTTTTGTCCTAAACATTAGCATGTTTGTTTTAATATTTCCTATTATATTGAATATAACTACAGTAATTCTGTGTAGATACTTTAATACCTGTAAACTTCCATATTCTATCTGTATATGTATAAACTCTGACATTGGAGTCGTGAAGCTAGATTCTCTTAACTTGCACATTTATTTAAATCTTTGATAATAAAATCTACAGACTCATCCTAACAGCTGAATTCAAAGATAATGAACACAGACGCTCCATCTGCAGTAGGTGGATTTAGTATTTGGCTCCGTAAGCGTGCTTGTCATCGATGTGACTGGTCTTTGTACGGTCTTTGTCGTGGCAATGCGAGTGTTTGCTTATGATGTCGCTGCAAAAACAAAAAGGTCCCATTTTTGTGTGACGGCAGCGGCGGCAGCTTTACCTACCTTGGTCCTGTGTGTGTAGCATCATGCATATAGATCTCTGTGCCTTCAGTTAGCTGCCTGCTTAAATGCTAAAACCGTTTCAGCCCACTGACAGGACTTGTTATGCTGATGTACAGAGCATTTTTATTTGAATGCAAACTTCATGCTACCAGGAAAGAAGTCGTCATTAAGCAGCTTTTCTTTCAGCTGTTTATTTACTTTATCCTGGTCAGGTATCAGTTATACATTCATTTATCGGTGAAATCGTGTTACCAAAACAATACATTCAGTGAAAACGGTGCAAAACTGGGAATGCTTTTGCATGTGAACTTTAGACTTTCACTTGTTTGTCTTTCTCCTCTTCTGTGCCGTTTCACGTTGACACTGTGCCTTCCTGTTCTGACCACCATTTGACCTGGTATCCAGGATGACCCTGCAGTAGGTGGTTTCTTTGGCTCTCGGTTAAATCAGTTCCTGTCTGTGTGTGTGTGTAGCAGCATGTGTAAAACAATAAAAAACAAAGATTCTGTACCAGAACAGCCGATTTCTAAATCATTACGTCTTTTCTCCCATCACCTGAGAGGAACTGGACTGTTTTTAAAGAGCTAACGCAGGTAGATGTTGGCTACAGAAACAAGACTGTAGATGAGAGAAAACTGCAAGGGGAGGAGTAACATTTAGAAAGTAGGTAATGCGGGAAGGCAAACATGAACACATTTCTGGAGAATGAGATAAATTATGCTTTAATTTCTGCAGAGGTGTGGACTCGAGTCATACGACTTGGTCTCGAGTCAGACTTGTCATTTTATTGACTTCTGACTTGACTTGAATGCCAATGACTTGCAACTTGAATCGACTTGCACCTGTTAACTTGATGACTTGAGCATATTTGATATTTTAGCACAAAAATGGCACGACATGGACAAAAATCATGAATCATACTTCGCTCTGGGTTTGATCTTGTACCGCTGAATGCAGCAGCACTTTTGTTTATAATCAGTTTCTGTTGCACTTTCTGCTTGTTTGAGCAAATAGATGAAGCTTTAACCCTCTCAGGCTCAAAATAAGTTTTGATAAAAGGACGAACAACTAAGTCCTTCAGGGGTACTTCTGACTGAGTTAAAAAATGCTCACGAAATACGTGTGTGGAGTAACCAGGTAGGTTTTTACGTTGCAACACCTGCCTCCAGAGGGTTAAGAAGCTGTATTTCTGGAGTTTATTATTGTCATTAAATTGAAGTTGGACAGATGACTTGAAAATTCAAAGTTAAGGACTCTGACTTGACTTGGACTTCCAATTCATTGACTTTGGACTCAACTTGGACTTGGTTGTCTGACTTGGACTTGACTGGAGATACTTGTGACTTGCAAAGCAGTGACTTGGTCACACTTCTAAATTTCTGAATGGCAAAAGACAAATTTTAGATTTCAAATTTGCAGCAAATCCTATACTGCAGACAAAATTTCTAAATGTGGATAATTGTTGATCCCTGCTGCTCATCAAGGGAATAAAACTGCCTTCTGTCTTTTTGCCAGTGGCGCTCAGTCATGTGCTGTCTGAACTATGAACAGCTGTAAAGTTGACCTATGGACTGTCTTAATGCTCTTAATTGTTTTGTCTTGGTGAAACTTACCAGACTTGGATGGGAAACTGAAACAATATAAGAACATTTTATCTACCACCGGCACATCTTCCAGTGAGGAAGCAGAGTCCGGGGACTTTGGGTTGAGCTCCCCAATCTCTGGTGCTGAGGTCACTGAGGTGGTCAAAAAGCTCCTCGGTGGCAAGACCCCGGGGGTGGATGAGATCTGCCCGGAGTTCCTCAAGGCTCTGGATGTTGTGGGGCTGTGCTGGCTGACGCAGTTCTGCAGTGTCGGGTGGACATTGAGGGCAGTTCCACTTGACTGGCAGACCGGGGTGGTGGTCCTCTCATTTAAAAAAGGGGGACCGCAGGGTGTGTTCCAACTACAGGGGGTCACACTTCTGAGCGTCCCTAGTAAGGTTTCAGGGTTCTGGAGAAGAGGAGGGTCCGTCGGATTGTCGAATGTCAGATTCAGGAGACAAAACAGACATTTTGTTGTGTCTTATGTATGGCAGCAGCAGCTAATGGGTGTTTAAGTACTTTTCATGCTTTAGGAAGCCGAGTGGGCCAGAAAGGTTAGGGTCACAGAAGTTACTGGTAAAAAATATATTTCTGCAGTTGAACACACACACACGCGCACGTACGCACGCACACACACACACACACGCACACTTAAACTGTTTACGGTTTTTCTTGAATGCTTCAACAGGTTTCTTGAAACTATGCTTCGTAATCTCAAAACAATAAAAACAAATCCATAACATCTCGCCCAATTCCCCAAAAATCTTATTTTCAGGTCAAAACGAAGCTCTACACTCAAAACCGTTCACTCAAGCTGAAAAACCTAACTTTCCCACAGACACAAGGCCTCAAAAACACACACACTACAACATGGTCTACACATTGGTGCAATAAATTAAAAACAATATTTGCTAAACTTACAAGTTATGTTGCTTGTTCCACCCCTCAAAATCCTTTTCACATGATGAACACAAAAGATGTAAGCAATGTTAATACAGTAGTGGCACATTTTTATTCATGGACCAATCAGTACAGCAAACACTACAATCATTATTGTGCCTCAGCATCCTGGCTTTGGTCTGGGTTGGGCCGGGGGGCTGAGGAAGTCTGATGATGGAGGCAACATTGAAGCGACTCACATTTGGCTGGACTCGTTGCCCCGCCTCCCTCATAATCATATTATAGGCAACTAAAGTGGCTCGAATTTCATCCGAGACCACTTGTCTCCTTATCCTAGCTCTTCCCCTCCACCTCCTCCTCCTCTTCCACTTCCTCCTCCACTTGCACCTCTTCCATCCTGGTTTCAGAGATCCCCTTCTCCTGGTGTCCTACATAGATATGTATATAGACATGTGTTAATATGGTGTCTTAGACCTCCTCCATCTCTTCCTTTGCATCTCTTTGGATCCACAGTTTCAAACCTGCATGAGCTGACTTTGGCCCTTTTATCTATCCATCAGAGTTTCTGGTTGTTGCGTGTTAAATTGTGACTCCTAGTGTTTCCAGTTGGTTAATTGAGCTCAAGCCGTGCTGACTTCAGTTAACGTTATTGACTGCTAGTGCTTTCTAAATGACCACATGGTGTCAGCACTGAAGCATGGAGGGATTTGTGTGTAGAGTTTTGCAGTAACAGTTCACTAGCCTGGCCGGCCAGCCCCAGTTGTTCTCTGTGTAGAGGAGTCTGGCAGGCCAGGCTAACAGTTCACCAAATCTGACTCATGTGTTAAAGCAGGCAGGAGTGTGCTGGGACGTAATTTTGGGGGGGGGACGGGTGGGACATGTCCCCCCCACTTTTTCAAAAGGCAGTTTTGGTCCCCTGCACTTTTTTCCGTCCAAAAACAATGTTACGCTCCATTAAATGGATTTAGTTGAGCACTAGGACCGAAACGGAAACCGGTTTCCTATTAGACCCGCCCAAAAGCTAATCTATTGGCTCTGCTGATACTTGCTAACGTATTATTGGCTGTTGCTGCTGTCACTCAAGTTGTAAACAGTCAGAACGTGCTCACATTGTTTTGCTAGTTTGGAGCCGCTAGGGAACACCGGTACTGAGTCACATCGTCAACTAGACGCTGTGTAATATCAGAGCTCAGCTCAGCTTCCATTACATAACATTTGAATAAGTGTTCATTTGTGAGTCTTTGGTAGTTAGGCACAGCCAGGAGGCAGCATGTCAAGAAAACGAAAAGTGGATAGAAGAGACTTCTTTCAAAGTCAAAACGTAAGTTGGACATGTGACACTCCTGCATTAAGCTCAGACTCACCTCCTCCTTCACAAACATACTCAAAACTAACTTTTACAAACTCATCTCCTCCACATAACTGACTCCTCAGACACAATTTATTCGTATATTATAATTATTGTTTTATTATTATTACTATTATCATCATAATTATTATTACTAGTAGTAGTGGTAGAAGTGTAACTTCAAAACTTTTATCATTTAACTTTATTGTAAACTTATCTATTGCAATGTATATGTTCACATTAAAAAGCTCTGAAAAATGAACAGTATCATCAAGGGCGTCAGTTTGTTTTCAGAATTGCTGGGGACAATAACCATACACTTGAGTGGGGTTTAAAAATTGCTGGGGACAATAAAGTAGGCTAGCACAGGGGTCGGCAATCCGCGGCTCTGGAGCCGCATGCGGCTCTTCCATCCATCTGATGCGGCCCTCTGTGCTTGTAAAATAATAAATGGATATTTAAATAAAATGCTTTATATTTTACTGCATTAATTTTACACCTGTATGCCAATTCTAAATGTAAAGATTGTCTGCGTAAACCTGAACAGGTCCAACCCGGTCTGCGGTGGTTGACCGGTCACGCTTGTGCGTAATCATATAGGCACTTTATGAGCTGAAGAGGATGTGAGATTCTGGGCTTCTCCTCAGACGGCTCCTGGATGTGTCGCCACATTGGAGCCAGGAACAAGCGCTATTCAGCCAAAGTTTCATCATCAGGGAACATTTTCTAAGTGACAAGTCTCTCTGAGAGACTGGGTTTGGAAAACACTCGCTTCAGTGGGAGGAATCTTCCCGCATGCGCACTGCATGGTTCTCTGCGTGGCTCTGGGGTTAATCAAGTTTAATTGTTTCTCTTTGCAACAATCTTCACAGGAAGGCAAAACAGTTAAACGGCAGGTTACATATATTTCCATTTGACTGTTTATTTTGACAGATGAACTCAAGGATGTTGCTTGGTTTGAAAAAATTACCCCGACGCACACGGATGCTCATGGATGAGCTGACATTTTAATCGTTAACGCACACGCGGAGGTAAAATATTCCCATCAGAACATCAGAGCTCTTTATACTGGACACTGTGTTCAGCGCGGCTCGGAGCGCCCACGGTGGACAGTGGGCTGAAGATCTGGGGTTCGCAGTGCAGCGCAGTGCAGAACCACGCGCATGCGATGATTTCCTCCCACTGAAGCGTTCTGGAAACCCGGTCTCTCTGAGGGATGTGTCACTTGGAAAATGTTCTTTTTATGAAATGATGAAACTTTGGCTGAACAGCGCTTGTTCCCGTCTTCCGCATGAAGCGTAGAGACATTTGATCACGCACAAAGTTTATGCGGAGCAGAAGCGGTCGGGCCACGGCAGGTGAAATGTTCCTAGCCTACATGAAGTGAAACTGTTTAATTGTAACATTAATGTGTTACTGGACACGCTGGTCTGGTTGGTTAGACCAGTGTTTGAAGTGGAAAACACACTCACTCACTCACTCACTCACTCACTCACTCACTCACTCACTCACTCACTCACTCACTCACTCACTCTCTCACACACACACACACACACACACACACACACACACACACACACACACACACCAATTAAAATAATGCTGATAGCGTGGACTAGAAGACAGGTGATGGTTTACGTATTTAAATGATGATCAGGCTGATGTAAAATGTAATCTCCATCCAC